TTTTAAAAATATTTAATATTTAAAAATCATTAAGGCTGAAAAGACACCTACATAAAAAGTATGTTTTACATTTCGTGTCCATTTTGGTGAGCTCTTAATAAAACAAAACTAGAGGATTAAAAAAAGGATAACATATTTATTTACAAAAATCTTTAACATTTTATTTTTTTATTGTTAAATATTTAAAAACCGGTTAAAGCTGAAAGGACACGTACATAAAAAGCAGGTTTAAAATGCACTTTTGTACCCATTTTGTTGGCACAAAACAAAATTGGAACAAGTTCAATCTGACAAAATAATCAATTTGCAGCATTTACAAACGTTGCGGACGACGAGCGGCCTGAAACGTCGCAATTTTCCACTTGGACTTTAAAGAATAAAACAGCAAATGTAGAGGCATCGGGGACAACGGCGTCGCCGTACGTGGGAAAGCGGCGTGTGATCGTTAAAAGGGTTGGCCAGACTGACTGGTCACCATGACGATAACACGTCCGCAGATGGCCTGTCGGAAAGGGCCACTGAAAATAGACAGTTAATTATCAACAGGCAACGTTGTTCCCAAACTCAGCGACGTCAACAATGGGCGCATTGTCGTTTTATGTCGGCAACTTTTTTTATTTTGTTTTCTATTTTATTTTTTTAAAGCATTTTTTATTCCCTTTTACTTTTTTTACATTTATTTATTTAGTTTTTATTTATTTATTTTGCTTTATTTTATTTTTTAAAGCATTGTTTTATTTTTGTATTTAGTTTTTATTTATTTTTTTATTTAGTTTTGTTTTATTTAATTTTTTTAAGCATTTTTTTAAATTCCTTTTTGAATTTTTTGTATTTATTTATTTAGTGTTTATTCATTTATTATTATAATTATTAAAAAATATATGTATTAGTTAATAAATGTATATATTGCATTGTTTCTGTATGTTTTGCACACGGGGGAGACCTTCCCATGCCGCGTGCTGATTGGACGGGATGAAGATTGGACGTTACCTTTCTCCAGGTTTAGAATGGAGAGGTGGAAGGTTTCGGGGGGCGAGCCGTGTTCCCCGTCCGTCAGGTGGAATCGGAGGCTGTCGCGGCCTCTACAGCCGAGGACGGTGGTGTGGAAATACCAGATGTGATTCATGTCAACGTCTTCCTGCGTGAAGTTCATTCCGGGGTGCAGTGTCACCCACAGAGGCCCCGCCTACAGAAATGGGGGGAAATTATTTACTTACAGTGTATCCAAAGACAAAACTTTCTTTTTTGGGGGGGATGAATTGGGGGAGGAGTCAGAACCTCTGTCAGAGAATACAAAGGAATGAAAACTGGAGCAGTCACTCGTGGCAGCCAATCAGCACATCCGAATAAACTGAAGAGAGAAGCTGATTAGTTGCTACGGTGAAGGACGGAGGTCAGGTATAAGACTGAAGGGGAGGACGGAGGTCAGATAGAAGACTGAAGGGGAGGACGGAGGTCAGATAGATGACTGAAGGGAAGGACGGAGGTCAGATAGAAGACTGAAGGGAAGGACGGAGGTCAGATAGATGACTGAAGGGGAGGACGGAGGTCAGATAGAAGACTGAAGGGAAGGCCGGAGGTCAGATAGAAGACTGAAGGGGAGGACGGGGGTCAGATAGAAGACGGAAGGGGAGGCCGGAGGTCAGATAGAAGACTGAAGAGGAGGCCGGAGGACAGATAGAAGCCTTTTCAATCGGTCTACAATTCAGCTCTAAATGACGAGGATTCCTATTGGACGGGAGGACATTTTGGATTTGGAAACCTTCATCTTCAGCTCTCCGAAGGTCGGGCCGTTGTTGATGACGTAATAAATGGATCGTCTTTGAGAATCTCGATCTTCGGCCTCCAGGACAACGCTGGAGATGACTTTATTACCGGCAGCCTCCACTTCCAATCCTCCGTTTCTACAAAGGAAACACAAGAAACAAATCAGAGAGCGTGCAGCCAGAGACGGAGCCTTGGCCTCGGCGGTGCGGAAGCAGCGGCCTCTCTGCAGAGGTCTGTTACCTCCCCGGTAGCTTTGCGTTACTCATTGCAGAGCTGCAGGTCTGACATTGGCAGGGGGCGTGTCTGAAGAGGGACCGCTGCTTCCACACAGAGGGCGGAGCTAATTGTCTGCAGCATGCTGGCGGGGGGCAGGCTTATCTACTCCGCTGCGGCTGCTCGAGGAAAATGATACTTTCTACATCTTTTATTCGGAACCACTTCCGGGTCGCAATACGACCCGGAGGTCAGAGAGAAGACTGAAGAGGAGGACGGAGGTCAGATAGAAGACTGAAGGGAAGGAGGGAGGTCAGATAGAAGAGTGAAGGGGAGGACGGAGGTCAGATAGAAGACTGAAGGGAAGGAGGGAGGTCAGATAGAAGAGTGAAGGGGAGGACGGAGGTCAGATAGAAGACTGAAGGGAAGGAGGGAGGTCAGATAGAAGAGTGAAGGGGAGGACGGAGGTCAGATAGAAGACTGAAGGGAAGGAGGGAGGTCAGATAGAAGAGTGAAGGGGAGGACGGAGGTCAGATAGAAGACTGAAGGGAAGGAGGGAGGTCAGATAGAAGAGTGAAGGGGAGGACGGAGGTCAGATAGAAGACTGAAGGGAAGGAGGGAGGTCAGATAGAAGAGTGAAGGGGAGGACGGAGGTCAGATAGAAGACTGAAGGGAAGGAGGGAGGTCAGATAGAAGAGTGAAGGGGAGGACGGAGGTCAGATAGAAGACTGAAGGGAAGGAGGGAGGTCAGATAGAAGAGTGAAGGGGAGGACGGAGGTCAGATAGAAGACTGAAGGGAAGGAGGGAGGTCAGATAGAAGAGTGAAGGGGAGGACGGAGGTCAGATAGAAGACTGAAGGGAAGGAGGGAGGTCAGATAGAAGAGTGAAGGGGAGGACGGAGGTCAGATAGAAGACTGAAGGGAAGGAGGGAGGTCAGATAGAAGAGTGAAGGGGAGGACGGAGGTCAGATAGAAGACTGAAGGGAAGGAGGGAGGTCAGATAGAAGAGTGAAGGGGAGGATGGAGGTCAGATAGAGGACTGAAGGAGAACGATAGGAGGGAGATCAGCAGGCTCCCATCCGCTGTTCTCTCCTCCTCCGCTGGACCCGGAAGTGACGTGTATTACATCACTTCCTGTGTCACTGGGCACATTCTCCGGCTCCTAGAGCCAGGAGAAGAAGCTGGGGAACCAGATCTCGACTTCCTCAGCTTCTCTGGGGGCCCCTAGGTGACATTAGGGGATCTGAAAGACCCCTGATGTCTCCATAAAGAGGACCTGTCACCGGTGGCGTCACAAGGGGGATGGGTGGGCTGCGGCCCACACCCAGGTGACACCATGGGAGGCGTGACACCAAAATGACAGACAGTCAGAAAAGTCGGGCACTGGACGTCCCCTCCTCTCTCTGCCGGCGTCCATCACCAAGATAGCCGCCGGTTAGTGTTTAAAAAAAAAAATTAAAGAAACATAAAAGAAAATTTAAAAAATGCAAAAAAAATGTTTCCGAAAATTGCGCTACACATGTTACATATCACCGCGACCGTCGGAGTGAGAGCGATAATTCTAGAGCCATCAATCACGGTTAGCACTAAACCGATGAGCGGTAAAAGCTTTTAAAGTGTCCCCTATGGGGAATTTGTGGTATTGAAGTTTTTTGACGGCTTCACGGGCGAACGCAATTTTAAGGCTTGACGCGTTTGGTATCTATTTACCCGGCGTGACCCCGTCTTTTATATTTTACCCCAAAAATTGGGGTATTAGATTCTGTTTCTGAGCACTAAATTTCATTTTAGTGCATTTTATCCTGAAAATACTGGCTTGATAAACATTTGCGCACACATAAAAGATTGCAACTAGCATTTTTTTTACTCTGCATGGCCTCTTCTTCCAGGAAATATATCATTGTTCGGGGGTCCCGAGGTGTTTTCTAGACCAAATAGTAAGAAATTGCTCCGGGCAGCAAGTGGTTAATGTATCTGGGGTGTATGTAGCTGATTTAAAGGAGAACTATGGGGTCCGGGCTTTTCCCCATAGACACAAACAAGCGTCCTCCCGTCACCCTAAGCTCAGTATACCGCGAGCTACAGCTCCCTATATACTGAGACACCGCAGCTGAAGCGGATCCCGACAATTATGGCGGGATCCGCCCAGCTGCGTGACTGACAGCTGGCTCTGCCTATCTAGAGGCAGAGCCAGCTGTACCTGCCCCCTCCACCGTCCGATCCACCAGTCAGCGCTGGCGGATCAGAGAGGGGAATCCAGCCCCTCTCCCTGTCACGGCAGAGAGCCGTGACAGGATCGAGAGGTGAGCGAACGCCGGTATGTGTTCGCTCACCTCCCGATCTACTGAGCCGACCTGTGACAGTCTCATTGTCACAGGTCGGCTAGAACTATGAGGTGAGTGAAAAGCAATCACCTCATAGTTCTCACCTCAAAATTTGGATTTCTGATCACTTCCTGTCCTTTAGACAGCAATCACCGGGGGTTGAATCTCCCAATCGCAGACATCCCAACCTGCAAAACCTTATTTCAGGGAGGTTCCTGTCTCATTTCAGGGAGGTCCCCTTTCTGTTTTTTGGGGGGTTTTTCTACATCGTCCGTCGTCAGAATATAAAAGAAATAATAATGATATATATATACGCACGCACGCACGCACGCACGCACGCACACACACACACTAAATTGCCAAAAGTATTGGGACACCACACGCACACACACACACACTAAAATAAAATCCATTTACCAATAATACAATAATATTATATATATTTATATATACATCAGATTTGTGAATTGATGTTCAAGTATCTGTCAGTGTAAAGGTCACAATTTTATTAGACAGCCCGAGACGTTTTTAAAAAAAACGCTGAGGAGTAGAGTCCCTGATACACAGTGGACTAGTTGCTATGGGCAGCAAATGAAATAAATGTTCTCTATAACTGGACAACCAGGACATATAATTTGACTCTATATGATCCACAAAGGGTAACAGCACTCTCTCAACCCTGCAGCCGGGGCCGGCCTTAGGTCTTTAGGCGCCCTGTGCGAGAAAGCTTTACAGCGCCCCTCAGTGACCACACCCCTCAGTGGCCACACCCTTTAGTGACCACACCCCTAGTAACCACACCCATTTATTACCCATATTTTTGGTATGTGCGGCCGCACTGCTCGCACACCCCTAAGGCCGGCCCTGCCTGCAGCAGTGCCTGTACCTGCTCTCAATAGTATTCTATGTCCGCCCTCTCTGTGCAGCAAGTAGCTTCTTCCTTCTGAGAGCCAAGCCTCGTTCTGAGGCTACTCTAGAGATCACATGACCTTCCTCCAGAGGCAAGCCTCGTTCTGAGGCTACTCTAGAGATCACATGACCTTCCTCCAGGAGGCAAGCCTCACTCTGAAACTTTACCCACTGATATCTTACCGGAAGGTTTACTCAGAGTGCCTCTCTCGCGGACATCAGGGAGCTGCTGTCCAAAAGAGGGAGACTCCCTGAACATCAGGGAGACTTGAGATCCCTGCAATCGGGGACACAGACAGCGATCACCGGGGGGTGACTCTCCCCAACGGGGACACAGACAGCGATCACCGGGGGGTGACTCTCCCCAACGGGGACACAGACAGCGATCAAAAGCCTGATTGAGTTTTTCATCCTCGCCTACGGCATCCAAAACCAAAAAAACAACAACATAAGTTTGGCTTTAGATTTCCCTTCAGATTGTCTGATCCGGTTAAATTATTCTGCGGCATCGGCGTCCTCGTCCCCTCGCTGTGCCATGAATGGAGGACCTCAGCTGCTGCAAAGCCTCATGGGAACCAAACCTAACCCACTCCATTTTGATTTTTGAACCGGTTCCCAGTCTATGTAACAGAACCGTGATTGACAGCTCCCCCTCCCCTCCCCCCCCACCCCTCTTCCCGTGAGATTAGGTGGCAGGTGTGGGCATTGCAGCGCCGGCGTGGATGGCAGACACGTTCCCCTCCCGCGGTGGTCCAAATCATTTACATCTCACCAGCCTTGAGGGGCGATTGCTCCCGGGGGTCCGGCCCCGATTGTCTGCGGCCTTATCTCTACCTTCACATTGATTGTCTCCTCCAAAATATTCTATTATCCGCCCGGGATTGGCTGGGAAAATATTGTTCGGCCAATGAAAGGATTAACCTGCGAAATCCCAAATTCATATCACCGTCGTGTGTTCTCCCCGTCCAAACACAAGCAGAGAAAGTGGGATTTAGAGGAAATGGCCCCTTAAAGGAGATGTGAACCCCAAATTAATATTTAATTCGCAAAAATAAACAATGTAAATGTATCATAAAAAAATAATTAATTTAAATAAAAGCCCATTTACACCTTTTTTTTAATCCTTTGTTGCATCTCAGAGCATGCTGGTGTCCTGCGGCCTATTTGCAGCCACTTCCTGTTTACATGCACTTCAGCGAAGGCTGCATGGCACGTCGCAGGGCGGGTTTCCTGATGGTGACAACACTGGACAACAATGGTGTTGTAACAGCCACTTGTAGTCCCCATTTGACAGGGTGACTAGGCAGGAGCACAATTGGGGGGGCAGGGACACAGTCTTGTCACCCTATAACAGGAATTGTCTGAGTGAGGACCTTCATGGCAGGATCACCAGGCATCATTATAATGTGTGCTGT